CAACGCGACATTGCTGCTACGCAGCGATGCACCAACAGTTGGTCATTTTTCTAATTCGACCTTATGTGGGTGGTTCTTCTGATCAAATCTGTAGTTTAACCGAATTTTTACAGTGGTTGTTGGTATTTTACAAATGGTGGTGGTGGTGCTACAGGTGGTGATGGTGATGGTGATGGTGATTGTTTGTGGTGTTGATGATGGTGGTGCAATTAGTGGTGGTGGTAAGGCGGTGTGAAGTTCAATTAGTACCTGTGGTGGGGTTGGTTTGGGTGGGATTTTGAGTGATTATGATCAATAAATTGATTAATTTGTGTCAAATAAATAATATGTGATCTAAAACATTTTAAGAGGGTGTTCGGTAGGGCTTTTAAGTCAATTAAAATCAATTTTTTGACTGTTATTTTACTATTACAGCTGTCATTTTTGAATTCCTCTCTCACATATAGGACTCATTTTTATCTCTAACGGCCAAAAAATTAATTCTCAAACACCCTCTAAGTTTGCAACTAAATTTTTAATCGTGACTCATAATTTGTTTATTTATGATAAATTAATTAGATAATTTGTTATAAAAAATAATTTGTAACCAATTAATTTGATAATTTGTGATCGTGAAATAAGTTGTGACTTATAAAATTTTTAATTTATGATCGAAAAATAATACCTGGCCTATTAATTTGATAATTTATTATCGATAAATAAATTGCTACCTATAAAATTTGTGATTTGTGGTCAAAAAATAATGTGTGACCAATTAATTTTATAATTAATGATCGATAAATAATTATAACTTATAAAATTGCTGATTTGTGACTATGACATTTTTTTTTTATTGTGGTTAGTAAATAATAACCATAAATTTTATGGCAATGTGACATTAATATATTTTATTAACAAATATTTTTTAGTTATATATTTTAATTAATAAAATTTAATTATGACCTGGTTTTTGAAATTTTAAAATACGTTTGTTAATTTAAAATTGTATTTTCTATGTATTTTTCCTAAATCAAATTTGTTGACAGAGTAAGCCGTTAGGCATTCCATTATTGAATTGTAAAGGTCCCACGAATAATGGAATTACGAGAATTGGGCACAGTTCGTAGATATGTATATTTTGCAGGATAAGACTCACAATTTCATTCCTACCCAATAGAACAAAAAGGTGGTTTGATCGCCTGCGACACACGCAATGCACCACTTCAACTCACCACTTATAAAATCTCATTCTTCAAGCTAAGTCTGTTAATATAGTCACACTATACCACGCCCCAACCCATACCCCTTCTATGTTCTGCTCCATTTCATAATTCAGGAATTTTCGCTAGATTCTTTGAGAAAAGCGAAAATTCACGATCTTATCGTATTGTAATTTGTGTTGCTTTTGCTTTATTTTATAATGATTTGAGGGAATTTCAGACAAATGCAGTTCATTTTAGTTTAGAAGACTGACCTGTGTTTGGATCTGGTGTTGTTATCGCCAGATTACATACTAAAGAGTAAAAACAGAGATTATAGGGACTGGATGGAAAATTCATACAGTATCGTCAATGAAAATGAAAGCTTGAGAGCTCGAGTGCGATGAGCATTTAGAGAGGAATTGACTTCGTTTTTCCACTTCTTTTGATCTTTTTGAGTTTTGTTCACTTCTGAATAATTAAATTTGCTGGTTGGAAAAATTTTGAAATACTGAAGAAGCCCTTAGTCGTCCAAATGTTTGCTATACAATTTGAGTGAAGCAGAGTAAATGAAGCGGAGGTCGATTTCGCAGAAATTTCATCAGAGATGGAAAACGAAGCTTTTTGCTGTGATTTTACTTGTATTTTGTTTTGTGACTTTAGGGTTAATGGAATCGCTATACAGCAGGATCAAGGTATTAGCGTTAATTTCCCCGCCTTTGGTTCAGAAGCCGAAAATGGCGTTTCTATTTATAGCACGAAATAGACTTCCACTTGAGATGGTTTGGGATGCATTCTTCCGGGTAATTACTATTTTTATTTGTTTTTATTTAATTTATTATATCTATTTTTAGTAATCAGTTTATTATATCTTCATATTAGTGACGCAATAAACAAAATCAGTTTCCCCCTTCGGAATTTGTTTAACTGTATAGAGTACTAAGAACAGGTGATGCTAAATGTTCTGGAAATATGTTCTCTCTTTGCTGCAGCGCTACAATTGGAATCCCTTTTGAGAAATATTTTTATATACTGTTGATTTGGCTGCCATAGCGTTAATGGATGAGGGACAGTGCGTTTTTGGATGGAAATATTGATATAATTGATGATATTAATCCATAAATTGCAAACTCATTAATGACATTGGAATGGAATGCAGAGTACTTCGAGTCATTTGTAGTACTCGTGTTGGGCCGCAATAGATAATTTTTACTTGAGGCAAAGGAGTTCTGAAAAACTTGTGATGAGACTACTAGTGCAAACAGAGTGTAATCAACAAGAAGGGTATTACACACTGGTTAACTTGAATAAAAAGTTGAAACTAAACTATAGTCAAGTGACGAACGGATGATTTTTCGAGCTAGTGCCCTAAAATGTTAAGTGCTACGATATACAATCTATTTGAACAGATATTCAAATAAGATAGTAATATTCCTGCAAATAAAACAAAGCCGAGATAGAAATATAGGATATATAGTAATAGTAATACGTCCTTCTCAAATGACTTGAATCAACTCTCAGAGGTCCTCCTATTTTAGTCGGTTGGATAAACCCAACTTTCAAGAGCAGCAGCTTTAGTAGTAACAGCTACAAGTCTTACAAAGTAAAATTGACATAAAGCATTTAGCTTTTGACTCACATAAAACAAACAGTAACTGGTTTTCAATGATTTTGTCTTGTTAGAGTACCTCTATAATACTGAGATTTTACTATAATGGCGTCTCAATAAAATTTGTAAAGAGGCTCAACATCTTATTTACAGATAACACTTGAAATAGTTTGTAATAATATAATGAGTAAGCCTCAAATTCAAAGTGAACAAACTCACTCAACTCATGGCAATGGGATGCAAGAGTTGTAATCTAGAAGCTTCGAAAGATCTAGGGACTTCTTTAGATGATCATCTCAATTTTTTCTTTCAGTTCAAATAAGAGAAATGGTACCTGTACAGATAGTTTTTTTTTTTTTCCTGTAAGACAACAAATATCATTTCATCTCGTGAGTTCTAACGGAGGTTCCAGGTTTAAGGAAATATGTCTAGGCATCTGTAACGTATTCTAAATATCTGAATATACAACCAGTCGATATAGATGTTTTACATGTCTTTAGTTTTAGCCTCTATTTGGTACCGTTAAAAATTGTGATTAAATCTAAGTTAAAATCAAAAATTAATTTTTAACCGCACATTTCATAGGACCCACGACTGTTCAAGCATACATTCAATCAACTTTTATCAAATTTTGCTAAACATCCGATTTTAAACTCTATCAAATAGGGTCTTAACTTTTGGACTTTTGAATACGTTAGAAACTCCACAAAAGAAAATTTAAGGATTATATCTTGATGATGAAACCTTTGACGCAATTTTTACTGGATTTTAAATGAAAAGTTGTGCTGGATTTCAAATGAATCCCTTCTATTCCTATCGTAAAACTCCTCTAGACCATACATCTGGATCTATTTATCTGTTCACAATGACCTAGAGTTAAGTGAATAGTTTGTTGGCTTTTCTCTGCAGCGGCGACGAGGGTGGGTAGGGTTGAGGTGGGAGGTCACATTCATGTTTGTTTCCTACCAACACATATAAAAAATGTAGTAGCTTTTGTCTTATAATTTGAAGACAGTTTATTTTGACTTTGATGTTTGAATTGACAGCATCAGTAACTGACCTATGAGAGCCATTTATGTTGTTTTGCAGGGTGATAAAGGGAATAGGTTTTCCATCTTTGTTCACTCAAGACCCGGTTTTCTGCTTACTAAGGCGACTACAAGATCAAGTTATTTTTTGAATCGCCAGATTAATGATAGTGTGCAGGTTTACTTTTATTTGGAGTTTATGAGCTTCAACTTAAATCATATAGCAATTTACATGAAATGTTAAATGATTTATCCACTAAAACATCTTTGATGCTTTTTTTCATCTCTTATATATTATTAACTCAATTTGACAAGAAGGCTTCTATGATGAATGCAAAATGTGATTGCTGGGAGTGGGGCTATCAGTTCCATATTGGCTAACTTTATATTTGAACTTTGGTGTAAACTCATTGTGCTGTCATATTTAGCAATTGATGATTTCTTTCCAGGTAGACTGGGGAGAAGCAAGTATGATCCTGGCAGAACGCATGTTGCTTGAAAATGCATTGATGGATCCATTTAATGAGCGGTTTATTTTTCTTTCAGACAGGTGATTTTGAATTTTTAAATTTTTGAGTCAATATTATAAAATAAGAAATGAGAGTAAAGGCCAACAAGTGGAGGAGGTGCCGGTTGTGGATAAATTAAGTGAATAAGGACTTAGGTGCTTGGGACATGTTTGTGTAGGATTATAGTAACTCTTTTTAATAAGAATGATGTGATCTCACTAGAAGAGGGAGGGGTAGACCAAACCCAATATGGCCTCTTGTGATGGTTGATCTAATAATGAATAGAACATAGTGGCAAAATGGATTCATGTAGTTGACACCTAATTTATGGGGACATGGACATGGCTTAGTTTGATTTTTTTCTAATTAACAAGAGTATTGTGGAATGTTGTTGTTGGACTATGTTCAGTTGCCTGCAAATCACTTAACTCATATTATATCTGCTTCTTAATCTTGTTTCAGCTGTATACCTTTATACAACTTCAGCTACACATACGATTACATAATGTCTGCCTCAACTAGTTTTGTGGACAGGTTAGAGCAACTGCATTTTTGCATTCTTTCCACAAGTAAATACATTTTTTATAAATGACGAGATTGCAGTAATCACAAGATATTTCTGAATATATATATATATTTTCCCTATTTTACTTCTAAGCACATCATTTTCATTCAAAAATTTAATTTTTTTTTTCCCTATTTTACTTCTAAGCACATCATTTTCATTCAAAAATTTAATTTTTTTTTTCTCTATTTTACTTTTAAGCATATCATATTCATACAAAAATTTACACAAATAGGCGTCGTAAGATACATGGGTCAAGAATGGTTTTAAGACTTTGCTTGTACTTTAAATTTGTAACAGTTTTGCTGACACTAAGGAAGGTCGTTACAATCCAAAAATGCATCCGGTGATTCCAGTTCAGAACTGGAGGAAAGGATCTCAGGTAATGTCATATCTTAGGATTGTTGCTTCCTGTAGATAAATAATTTCAGAAACTCCATAATATAAGAGAACCTGAAGTGTCTTCTGCATTTTACAGTGGGCAGTTCTCACGAGAAAGCATGCAGAGATTGTTGTGAAAGATGACACTGTATTCCCTATGTTTCAATCCCATTGCAAGGCAAGTCTTCTAATCATTTTGTTGAGCAGTGTTAGTTTTGTTGCAAGATATCAGTTTCTGCAATGAGCCGTTTGTTGATGGGTACTTCCCTATGATGTAATTTCATTAGGAAGAATAGGA